AGTTGAAAGTATTTATATTCATTGACTTAAAGAACATTAACATAGAAAACATGATACAAGGGCATCTGAAACCCAGATTCATTGGTTTACTAATGATCAGTCTCAGATGTTTGATCACTAAGAATGATATCTGGGAACACAGAGGAAGTGGTGGACATACTTTTCCTCTTCCTGTAGAGCAGCAACTTTCAACCTTTTCATTTGCTGATCCCTTAAAAGTTTTCAGATGGAGATGCAGTCTGATCACATGGCAGTCTGCAGACTACAGGCTGAAAACCAGTATTGTAGAGGATTCATTTCAATTGTGTGAGAAGTGAAGCAAAAATCAGCTTGCAATAGTGAAACCTTCAAGGCTGCTGCTTAGTAACAGCATAGGTATGTAGTGGAAACCCATTTTTCTGCCCCTCAGACTCAGCCCCATGGTAAAGTCCTACCAGAGACAAAGCCTTCCATAACAGTCCTTCTTCAGTCCTATAAGAACCAACAATGCATTAAATGTTCAAAGCTATTTACTCCTGAGGAATTCTGTGCTACTATGCACATACAGAATTCATAGCCTCCCTCAGATCATATTTTCTCTGCAGAATTTTGATTCTGCTGGAGAGGCACTGCAATCACACTTTTCACCCACCAGGAGCTGCTGTGGCACCAGACAAGAGAACACGGAATTACAGAGGCTGTGTGGGGAGCCAGCTGAGGAGGGACTGAGGGGGGCACATTAAACTGCTGGGGGTGTTTACAGTCTAGGGTTCAGAAGAGTTACTGGGAGAAAAGACTGCACAGGAGCTAGTGGGTTAACATTTAGGCAGGGCTAAATGGGAGGGGAGTTGCAGGACCATATTGGGGAGAGAAGGTAGAAGAGAATTGAAGAGACACATTAGGGACAAGGACAGATGTACCTGACTGAATAGGAGAGGCTAGGGGTCAGACAGGGAGTTGGTGAGTCTCCCCTATGCAGACCCTAACAATCTCCACTCCCACCATCAACAAAAAAACCCACCTATTCCACATTTCTCCCACCCACTCCCAACAACTCTCCATATTCGCTCCCAGGATTCTTCCATCTCACCATCTTCAGTACTCTGACTCACCGCAAGCCCTCCCTGCTTCAGAGGGGCGACTGAAATACGGTTCTGTATTATAATTTAAATGAATTATTCCTCAAAGTTCTATATTAATATCCCTAATAAGGAATCTATTTTTAAAAAATCATGATTTTTTAAATTTATTATTTATTTTTGGCCAGTATTATTAGAGACATACTTGCTAACAGGTATTTTGAAATAACTGAAACTGGCATGATTATATTATGTTAATAAAACGTTGAATTTTATAGAATTTTTAAATACTGTGTTCAAATTTTTAATTTTTGGCACAGAATTCCCTCAAGAGTAGCTATTGTACTTGTGTACAAGTCTTCCATAAGAGCCCTCAATTTTGGAATATACTCTGCTAGTGGTGCTGGGCTTTATCTTTAGGTTAATATCTACCTGGTGCCCAGGTTAAAAGTGTTTATATTCGGTATTACCCAAAAATAAAACAAAATACTCTCCCATTACTTTACCTGCATCACAAGAGATGTTTTCACACAGTCTCGTCTATTCTGTCCTCCCAGAGTTATACTTCCACTCAACTGATCAGACAGAGTCTTAGAAAACTGAACTCGAGAGGGCAAGCCTAACTGCCTTCTGTTATTTTCTGCTTCAAAGGTATAGTTAAGTTCTAGATCAAAAATAAAAGGAAAATACAGAATTATCATTAGGAAATAGAACACTAAAGAATGCTAATTTATGAATTGTTGGCGTGTCATCTTAACCAGACTCTCTGTCGAGTTTATTTACTACTCTCCCTTTTTTGTGAAATTATCTTTGGGCCATAACCTTCACTATCTGCTGTTTTGTCCTTTCCCTACATAAATGCAAAAGGAGCTTTTACAATTAATAGGTTCCTGTTCAGTGTACCAGTCTCCCTCATGTGCATGCTGCTGTGCACAACATGAATAGTAATCACACTGCACAGCCAGCAGAGGCAAGGCTGGAACAGAAAACATCCTGAAGGCTGCACATAAACTCTCTCTTTCTCTGATGTGCCCCACAAGTCCATGGCTGGATCAGACAACAGTACCCACTGTTAGGTTTTTATATAGAGCAGGGGTGGGCAATAATTTTTTATGGAGGGCCACTCCCAGAATTTGATAAGTGGTCAAGGGCTGCACTCTTGCATATTAATGGAGGAGGTGTGGGGTCTGGGACGGAGGTTGGGTGCAGAAGGGAGCTTGGGAAAAGGGACTGGGGTGCAGGAAAAGGTGTGAGATTGGAAGGGAGTTGTAACCTGGGGCAGCGAACTGGGCTGCACAGTCTGGGAAAAGGCATGGGTGCAGAAGGGGGTGCAGAGTCTGGGAGGCAGTTGTGACCTAGGGCAGGAGTGGGTACAGGGATCTTGGTTGTGACCAGGGGTAGAGAATTTGGGTGCCAGATCTGGAAGGGGGTTGTGATCTGATGCCGTGGATTGGGGGGTAGAGTCTGGGAGGGAGTAGGAGTGCTGGATGGGGACAGAGGATTGGAGGGAGAGAGAGGCCAGGGTGCCAGAGGCAAGGAGACATAACCTAGGTGGCTCCCAGCCAGCAGCACAACAGGTTCCTCAGCCAGAGTCTTTGATGCCCTTGCACCAGCTGTGTGGACCATGTGGGGCTGTGAATACTGCAAACCCTAAGGAGGTACCTAGTGTGCCTGTTCTGCAAACAAGCAGCTCTCATTGGCCAGAAGTTGGAAAACCCTAAAAGACACAAGTAATTCTTATTCCAATTGCTGCTTCCATGGAACCATTCATGTGAGGAACACCCTTAGTAATAAGAGTTTGAAGGAAATGTCCCTCAACAAAAGGCAAATGCTAATTATCAAAGGGTACGTCTAGACTACATGCCTCTGTCACCAGAGGCATGTAGATTAGGCTACCAGACATAAGAAAATGAAGCGGCGATTTAAATAATCGCCGCTTCATTTAAATTTACATGGCTGCCGTTCTGAGCCGACAAACAGCTGATCAGCTGTTTGTCGGCTCAGCGCGATAGTCTGGACGCGTGGGTGTCGACATCAAAGGCATTTGTCGACCACCCAGGTATGCCTCCTGGGATGAAGTTTACCTGGGTGGTCGACAAATACCTTTGATGTCGACACCCGCGCGTCCAGATTATCGCGCTGAGCCGACAAACAGCTGATTAGCTGTTTGTCGGTTCAGCGCGGCAGCCATGTAAATTTAAATGAAGCGGCGATTATTTAAATCGCCGCTTCATTTTCCTATGTCTGGTAGCCTAATGTACATGCCTCTGGCGACAGAGGCATGTAGTCTAGACGTACCCAAACAGGCCTTTAAGACTATATTTTATGGAGTGATGCCAGTGTGTGAATAGGCTTTACCGATCCTATGGAGTGTCTGTTGGCTTACCGGTTTAAAGCCAGATAGAATGTAAGAATCTAACTTTCAGACAAGAAATTTAGTCATATAAACTTAATTACACTTCTACAGAATCCTACACTTCTGTTAGCACAAACTGCTGCTCTCAAGTGACAGCTAGTACTGTCAGTATATGCTGAATTATATTTTAGATCTGACACACAAAATTTGAGAGTTGTTGCATTTTACATACCTAGCTCTGCAGTTAACTTTTATTGACCACGACTCTGTTTTACCAGAACATTAAACAGCCCTAAAAACAAGCAAAACAAAACAAAAACCTCTCATGAAAAGCAAATAAAAAGCATTTGTAACTACTTACTTATTCTTGGATTGAAGTCAGTGGGCTTAGCAGTGTATTCAAAACATGCTTCAACATCCATGCTGCAAAGAGTCAAGAATTTAAAAATAATGTTAAGAAGTCATGTTCCAACAGATTGAACATTTCAGTATTTTGTTAAAAAGAAGCCACTTGTCCATTATCCTGGCTTCTATAATGTGATTCATATTATATGTATCATCAGAACTTTGTTTCTTAGTGAATGGTAACTTACAAAACCAGAAGAAAAAGTGCTTCTCTCTTATTACTCTTTTTTTTTTTTTAACATCTGAAAAAGTCAAGAAGTTCTTACAAAAGTAATTTTTCCCATTTAAATAAAATAAAATATATTGTAGCTTTACTGTATTTGCTAGAGGACCTCTGGAAGAAACAACTGGATTTTGACACAACAAGAGATTGAAACCTGAGCAAGTGAGTGGGTAGAAATGTTTAACATGAATGAGCCTAGGTCAGAGGTGGGCAAAATAAAACCCACAGGCCAGATTCAGGCCACCAAACTGCTGGATCCAGCCCACAAGCACCTCTCTCTGCCTGCCCTGGCCTCCCTCTTCGCCCCCCCCTCCCATGCACACACACACTGCTCAAAGAAGCTCTCTGAACATTGCAAGCCGAGGGGAGAGACTTCGCATACTACCTCCATCCCCAGCATAATCTCTCAGCTCCCATTGGTCAGTTTGTTTGTAGGCCTGGCGAAGTACCCCTCCTCCTCAGGGCTCGCAGCATTCACAGCCCCACACGATCCATGCAGCTGGTGCAGGGGCATGGAAGGCAAGGACTCTGGCTGAGGAACCTGCTGGGCTGCTGGCCAGGAGCCATGCATGTAATGTCTCCTAGCCAAAGCCTGCCTTTGGCACTCCAGCCCCTTCCTTACCTCAACCATCTGTCCCCCTCCAGGATCCCTCCCAGACTCTGCACCCCAATCCCCTACCCCAGGTCACAACTAGGGATGTAAATGCAGTTTAACTGATTAAACATATTTTTAACTGCTTAACCGATTAAAGGGAAGGGCAACCGGGAGGGAGGGGCCACTCCAGCCCAGTTGCCTGTGACTGAGCTGCAGGGCTCCCTGCCCCTGCCACAGGCAGGGGGTGGCCCC